GCGAGGCAATATTCGCGTCTTCTGCCGGGTTCGGCCCGAGACTGCGTCGGCCACGGGCAGCCTGCGCTACCTGTACGCCATGTCGACCGAGAAGATCTGCGTTGCGCCACGACTGTGTCAGCAGAACGCGCAGAGGCCTAGTCTGCCGCACGGCCACACGGCCCGGAAGAGTCAACTGTCACGTTACTACTATTTCGATCATGTGTTCGGGCCTCAGGCGAGTCAGGAAGAGGTCTACAGCCAAGTGGCCGATCTCATCATCTCCTGCATCGACGGCTACAACGTGGGCATCATGGCCTATGGCCAGACGGGCAGCGGAAAGACCTACACGATGCTGGGCGATCACGAGGAGCCGGGCATCATTCGACGCGCTTTGCGCCATCTCATCGAGATGACTCGATCGCGTCCGAACTGGCGCTACCAACTGTCGATGGGTGTGCTGGAGATCTATCAAGACGAGGCATATGACCTACTCTACGACGAGCCCGATTGTCGGACTCCTGGAGGCGGGGCCGCCGGGCCTCTGTTCATGCCCTGGTGCAGCTCCACGGCCAATCTGGCGGACCGGTCACCGACACGTCTCGACCGACGACGTCCGTCTGTCCGGCTTCTCTCCACGCCCCATGAGGGTCTCTTTATCGGCAACCTGACGCAGCACATGATTACAACCGAAGCAGAAGCCCTGGCCAGCATTGAGTTGGCCGAGCGACGACGCTTTGTCGGCGCCACGCAGATGAACATCTCCAGCTCCCGGTCACACTTGATCACTTTGATCCGCCTCGTCGGCACAAACGGCCTCCAACAGGCGACCACTCAGAGCAACTTGATCCTCACCGATTTGGCGGGCAGCGAGAATTTGAGCAAATTTCGCACGGCCGACCAACGCTTTCAGGAGTCGACCAGCATCAACAAGTCACTCAGTTCACTGGGCCGCGTATTTGATATGCTCCGGCGTCAACAGCGACCGACCTTTCGAGAGACCAAATTGACGTATCTGTTGCGACCGACCCTGTGCGGTGGGGCTAAATGCCTCCTGGTGGTGACCCTTCGGGCAGAAACCGAGAATTCTGAGGAAACGATGCGCTCGATCGCTTTCGGCCAGGGCGCA